CTGCCTGCGTCGAGGCCCTCAGAGGCCGTCGTGGGGCCCTCAGACGCCAGCGTGGGACTTTGGAGCTTGCGTTGGGTCTTAGAGACCATCGTGAGGGCCCCGAGAGGTCGTCGCCAGGGCCCTCAGCCCCTCAGGGACCGTCCTGGGGTCCTCAGAACCGTCCTGGGGTCCTTGTGAGGGCCCTTAGAAGCCTTCGGGAGGATCATCAGAGGTCGTCATGAGGGTCCTTGGCCATAGTGAGGGTCTTCGTGGGCCCTCAGATACCTTAGCAGGGCTCTCAAAGGCCTTGGTAAGACAGCTAGAGGCCATCGTTAGGGCCCTCAATAGACCGTTGCAGGGCCCTCAGATGCCGGCATAGCCCCTGCAGCCTGGTTGTGTTGGGGTCCTCAGAGGCCGTCGCTGGGCCGTCTGAAGCCAAATGGGCCCTCAGACTTGAATTGGGTCTAGGGCCGTCACGAGGGCCCTCAGAGACCGTCATAGAGGCCCTCAGAGGCCAGCGGGTCCCTGGAGTCCTGTGGGACCCTCAGCGGTCGTCATGACTCATGAGCGCCCTTAGTGGCCGTTATAGGGCCCCAGGGGATAGAGGTCGTCGTGAGAGCCCTCAGAGATCATCGTAATGGCCTTCAGAGGCCACCATAGGGGCCCTCAGAGGCCAGCGTGGCCCCTGGAGTCTCCTTGGGGCTCTGGAGTCTCTGTGGGACCCTCAGCGGTCGCCATGAGGGCCCCAGGGGACAGAGGTCGTCGTGGAAGCCCTCAGAGATCGTCATAAAAGGGCCCTCTGAGGCCGTCGTGGGGCCCTCAGATGCCGCATGGGGACACCAAACGCGCCGCTCGGGACACTTCTACCCGGTGTGGGGCCCCAAAGACTAGCATGGGGCGCTCCTGACCATAATTGGACATCCCGGATGATTCCACATCAGTGTTCGTTTCCCGAATCCCGATCACTGGTTTTCAGGAGAAAATGTACTGGATGGTGCGACGGGCCCCTTGTACGGATTTTGGAGGTGCAAAAAGATATGTTTGCACCCCCTTGGTTTTCGATGGGGGTGCAGCTGCACCCCCTGCACCCCCTATTCCGCCGCCACTGTACAGAAACTGAAAAGTTCTTCCTATATCAAAAATATAGAAAGTAATCTTTTGTTGTAAAAAGGTTTTATTTTCTTTGCTGATCATTTTGAACATAAAAAATCACAAATCCATTGCAAAAAAAAATAATTTCGTGAAAGTGAACTATTTCCTTTAACCTCTCTCTATTTAGAAAGGCGTTACTTGATGTTTGACCAGGGTAATAGGTTGATACTACTGATTGACATTTACAAGGGCGCAGTCAAGTTGGGACCTCCCCGGCCCCTTACCGCCAAGGTAGGTACCTACGTATATTTTTTAGCTATTTTTTTTTTTTGGCAACCTAACAATATATGTAAAGTGGCCAGAATCCGGGGAGAGAGTAGGATTTGGGGGAAGGTAAGGTTCTGCAGGCGCCATCCTAACAAAAACCTAATGGCATTGGGCCCCCCTTTCAGATGCCCCTGGATCCGCCCTTGCCCCGAACTTTATTCCCCCTCTCGACTTTTCCTGTAAAAGTAACCCTGATTCAGAAAGAAATTTTTAATTTTTTTATAGCTATTAGCATTCGGTCTTATCGAGCTCCTGTCGGGCTGTGCTTGTCGATGCATTCGGTCTTGGTCGAAGGTAACTTTACACGAGTCACTGATGAGAAGGTAACAAGACGATAAAGAGAAGCACGGCTTTGTGATCGTGAATTAAAAGGTACCATATTCATGTGGCAGACGGCCCCGAGAAGTTTTATTTTCACTGCAGCAACTGTTCTTTTAGAAGCTTACGTCCAGCAATGCCAACTAAACATCTTTTCACATAGCTTGCAAAACATCGTCATGTTTTAAATTTGATCTCGGTTGCCTTACCACTAGCTTTTTGCAGTTGGATAAGGCAGCATTATTGGACTTTGGAGAAGCTGCAGCAGCGCTGGCTCAGAATTGGATCAGAATGGAGCCAGTGTTCTTCCTCTCGCATAAGGTTTGGGAGGGGGGGGGGTGTCGCATTTAGGCTGTACAAAAGGTACAAAATGCATGGTAGCTCAACATTTCTTCATAGGCCTATAGCAGGGGAACAGAGGATCCTCACTGCCTTGACAATTCCACCTCTGGTATGCCACTTTCTGGGTTTTCCCGGGATACCTGGGAGGCTTTAGTGATATTTCAGAATTCAGACCCCTGTTTGTGAGCGCGTCTGGGGTCTCCCCCGCGCCTCAGGTACCTGCATATCCTACATCCGAGATGGGTCCTGTCTAGTGGTGTCAATCGGAACTTGTATCTTCGGAATTCCGATTTTGTCCAATGTCCAATTCGGAATTCGGTTGGACAATGACGGCAGGCGTTGGACAACTTTGGACAATCACTTGCTACACCTCAGCATTTTTATAAAGCAATCGTGTTTAATACTGATTGGCGAATAGAAAGCTCAGCTTTTGAGATGACTAACACATTAAAGCTGGTAATAGTACATTTAAAACAAATTAATAACAGTGTTGAGTGTAAACTATTGCGTAGGTTTCGGACACCTTTGGACAAATGGCTGGCTTGGACATTTTTGGACGGACAATCGACGTAAGCATTGGAAATTGGACGGACATTGGACATACATTTTCTGAAACTGACACCACTAGTCCTGTCACAGAGGGGCGGCCCGGAGCCGTAAATGGGGACAGGGGACGCCAGGAGGGCCGCAGCGAGCCACCCTTTGTGTCCGGCGTCCCGTCCGGTCCTTTACCGGGAATCCCCTCCTCCCCTCCCCAGCCCGTTCACCAGGCGCTGTTCCCAGGACAGGGGCCACTCTACCCAATAACAACCAGCCCGGTCACCCCATCCCACTGCCACTGCATGCACAATGCATATTGTGTGCACGACAATCTCAACAGCACACCTGACATGTATCGCGTTACGCCGTGGTGGGTTTCTCCATCGTCCTGGCGGCGGCGCGGCGGTGAATGCGTTGATCTATCTGTGAGAATCTTGGATTCACCCGCGGTGTATATAATTATACAAACAGACTCGCCGTCGTCTGGCGGCTTGTCAGTTGTTCGCGTGGCTGTCGCAACTCGCACGTCACCACGCGGCACCGACCGCCTGGAGAGGAGCGGCCCTGCAGCGTGCTCCCGGGGGCTCCCCTGTGAGACAGACCACGAGGGAGAGCGACAAAACATGTGACGTCACACATTCTTCGGAATTTGCTTGTCCCCATCATCCCTGCGAAACTGCAGCAGCGCCTGAATGACATAAAGACGCATTCTGAGATTTCTGAGGGATTGCAGATAGGAAGATTTTTTCAGGTGAACCCTTATCGTCCTACGTCTTGCGTAGCTAATTTTGATTTATGTGTATAGGTACACGTGTACTAGTACTGAACGATCTGTTTCGAATACGTAAGCTAAAACGCCTGTGCGCAGAGGGGGGGGGGGTGATTTCTACCTAAAACCCTGCAAACACCTCCCATCTGTATCGGCCGCTGTATCTCAGCCGCCGCCGGTACCTACTTGGAACGGCCAGCCTGCAGCCGGGCGCTGGGCCGGCCTGTTCCAGCACGCCGCTCCGGTCGGCACGGCCCGGCTCCGTGCCAGCTGCAGCTGCGCCGGGCCCCGGACCGGTGACGTCACGTCCGAAACGCGCCATCCCCCCTCCCCCTCCCCCCGTCCCGGCCCGGCGCGGCGCCGCGGCTGGGCCGCCGCCGCCGCCGCCGCCGCCGCCGCCCCTGGCCCCCGGCCCGGACCCAAACGGCCCAGTGCACCGCGCTCTTACCAGACCTCGACTAGAGGTGCTGCATTGTCGCACCACGAAACCCATGGTCCGGACTCCGGAGGCATATCTGGTTATAACTTATAAATTGGTACTGATGTTCGCGTGTGTATGCGATTGCAAGTGTGATGGTGTTGGTCTGTTTGTCCAACAAATAACACCGATGGGCCGCAGACCGTTTTGTTTCTTTTAACAAAGAACGAAACCTTTGTTTTGGTGCTGAGGATTCGGTCACGTCACGCGGGCGGGGCCTGATCGATGATGGCGTGCTGAACGGCGCGGTGGACATTCTGGGGCTGTAAAGCCGCGACCATATAGAGCTCTATGGCTTACCTATGGCTCGTGAACTACCGCAAGTTCGGGGTATAAACGGATAATATGGAAAAAATTACTATTACGTATGCTATCGTCCCAATAAAACCGCATGTTTTGAGGTGTTTTACCTCCCCCCCCCCGGCCCGCGGCGTCGCCTGCCTCTACTGTCCCTCGCTGCATAGAGCCGATGGCTCAGCCGAGGCCGCTACTGTCGCTCCGTATACATATGTATATACACCTAGGCACGGCATGGCGGTGAGGAGGGGTTTATTTTGACGGTGCCGGTCCGGCCGGGCGCGGCGTGCCAAGCAGGCGGCGCCGGCAGTGGGGAGGGGCCACTGCGCAGTTGCAGTCCGGCGGGGCGGGGGGAAGTCGGCCTCACCGGGCCGAGCCGTGGTGGACTGAGCTGGCGGCTGGAATTCCCAGGCGTGGTGGACCAGGCCGTGTTTTGTGGGCTGTGGAATGGGGGAGGGCGACACATTCCTAAACGCTCCGCGCAGAGGTGCGTGTGCCGCATGCATGCGCCAGTTGTCTGTTGATCCACCGAATGAGCGTGCTCGCAGCGATCTTGCGCGTTTCAAGTGATTAGTGTTAGGTAATGGCGATGGTATTAATTTGCATGAAATGTCGTTTTTTTGGAAAGCCAGTTGGAACATTTCAAAGGGCTTTTCACCGGACATAACGACCTAAAAGCTAACAGCGATCAGTTGAGCAAGCGCAGACTCGGAAAAAGGTATGGTTTACTGGTCATCTATATCTGGTGCTAATTAATTTCCAGGGTCGTTCATTCGGTCGGCGTGGTTTTTAGATTATATCCATGATCACGCAGATCTGTCAGTACGTACCTTGGTATCAGAGTTTCACATTCGAATCGTTACATCAGAGCATTTATTACAAAATAGCAGATCTTACATCCCGCGGTAGGCCACAAATGTTCTGACGTCCTCGGCAAGAGTCAACTCATGACCCCAGGCCAATATCCCAGTCATTACCCACGCCTCTATTTAATACACGTCGACCCATGGTGGAGTAATAGATCCAGCATGGCTGATCGAAGAAGCTCGAAGAATCGAAGATCGAAGAAGAAGGTTACAAAAGAATGAAGCTTTTAAGTGCCAAGGCACAACGTTCTCATTGTCTTCTTCCCTTCCGCGTTGTGAGTTGACACTTCCTGCACGACCTGTTACGGGGACACATGACGCGAAGTGCCTTAGTGATGTCGACAGCAGGTCAGCAAGGACACTTCCGAACACACCCAGTTGAGGTCATCCTTAAAAGTCTCTTCCCAGCAGTCACAGCGTCGCGCATACACATTTTACACAGACAGGCCGCGGTGCACATTTTACACACAAATCATCAGCGCGTCACAGATCAACACCTTCACAGATCAACTCCACCTCACAGCGCGTCGTTGGCCTGCTTGCCGTAGACGAAGCCGTTCTTCTCCTGCATCTCCTGGTAGTAGTGCAGCACCACGACGAACCAGTACCAGAAGACGGCGATCAGGCCGGCCACGGCGACCACGAGCAGGATCAGCCACCAGACGCCCGTCACACACGCCGCGATGAAGCCGATGGCCACGCCGATGCTCTGCAGACCGGTGACGATGCCCGTGTAGATGAGCCAGGCCAGCAGCATTCCGCGCCGGCTGTTGTTGACGCCGTGAACCAGCAGCGCATTCATCACCAGGTGCAGGATGCAGAACACGAACTGGAACACGATCTGCACAATGACCGACGAGTTCATCTGCGCGTTCTCCTGCTGGGAGAGCTGTATGGTGCCGGCCACCTCGCTGACCAGGCCCAGGCTGCCCAGCACGAGCAGCGTGATGCCGATAGCCCGCGACCCGTCGCGCAGGTCGAAACAGCCGCAGCAGCCTGTCAGGCGACCCATCTTGGTCAAGTTGTGCTGGACGGTGCTAGAAGCGACGCACAAATGCCACCAGTCCTCCGCAAAATGTCACAAAGGTGCGGTGGCTATCGAGCGCGGCGAGACCCACCCATTGAACAACTCTCGGCAACTGGCGCGCCACAGGGCCGGCCGGGCGTGTCATCCACTCGGCGGTCGATGTGCGCCTGCGCAGTGCCGCCGCCGCCGCTGCGGTCGGGCGGTCGGGCGGTCGGGGGGTCGGACGGTCGGCGGTCGGGCGGTCGGACGGTCGGCACTAACACCATACCGCTGAGCCGAGCCGGGCACGGCCGCGGGCCGGCGTCGTCCTTTGATTGAGCCCACTGTGACTGGCGGCCCCCAGGCCGGCGATCGTATACACTATACGCCACGGTATACCGTGAGGGAGAGGGCTCATTTGACAGGACATATGCGTTTGTTGATTCTGTTACCCGTGGGTCAATCAGTGACATCCCATGCTTATCGAATTTAGATCACTTATAACTTACAAGTGTCTTCAAAGTCACCGACATTATGAACAGGGACGTATGCCATTGTCAACAATAGATATGTCCGTCCCAATTGACCCCAGAAATAGCGGACAGGTAAAATCAAACGGGAGCTAAAAGCAGCGTAATACCAATGTCTTGAGGCTTTCCAAGGGTGCGTATTATTTAGGCCAGGGTTCATAATGTCCAGGGCATGATGTGTCCAGTGCTCGAAATGGCCAGTGCCTTGAATTGGCCAGTGTTCATATTGTCCAGGGATTACATGGTCCAAATGTGGCCAACTGGCTGCAGATAGGGTAAATTCAAAGAGACCAGGGTTCATAATGTCCAGGGCACGATGTGTCCAGTGCTCGAAATGGCTAGGGTTCATAATGTCCAGGGCACGATGTGTCCAGTGTTCGAAATGGCCAGGGTTCATAATGTCCAGGGCACGATATGTCCAGTGTTCAAAATGGCCAGTGCCTTGAATGGGCCAGAGTTCATAGTGTCCACTGTCCAGGGATTACATAGTCCACCCAACCCAACCAAACCTAACCTATCCTAACCTAACCTAACCTAACCTAACCTAACCTAACCTAAGGTAATGATGTTTGCCTACCGGGGATAAGGAAAAAGTTTCTCGCATGAATAGATTGCAAGCAATAGTAAATCAAATATTTTTAGGTTAAGTGGTTATGCATCAGGCTTCAGGCCTTCGGCCTGAAGCCAGATACATAACCACTTAACCTAAAAATATTTGATTTACTATTGCCTGTAATCTCTCCTAAGGCATTGCCTTCGGCACTGCACTGCTTTGCATTGAGCTGGTTCCGTGTTTTTTTTTACATAATGACGTCACTTTCAGTGACTATGTAATCCCTGGACACTATGAACTCTGGCCTATTCAAGGCACTGGCCATTTTGAACACTGGACACATCGTGCCCTGGACATTATGAACTCTGGCCATTTTGAACACTGGACACATCGTGCCCTGGACATTATGAACCCTGGCCATTTCGAACACTGGACACATCGTGCCCTGGACATTATGAACCCTGGCCTCTTTGAATATACCCTATCTGCAGCCAGTTGGCCGCATTTGAACCATGCAATCCCTGGACATTGTGAACTCTGGCCCATTTAAGACATTGGCCATTTCGACACTGGGCATAACGTACCCTGGACATTATGAACCCTGGCCAGAATGAATGCTCCCCAATTCCAAGCACTCGCTTTCGGTACTTACGTTATGCCATTGCATATAGTACAAAAGACGTTAATCTGCGCCGTGTTGATACCAAAGTCTTAGGGCTCTTAGGCTTTCCATGCATGGATGCGGAGCCGTAGAAATTGCAGACGGCTCCGGCTCCAGCTCCGGCTCCGGAGAAAAAATCAGCTACGGCTCCGGTTGAAATGTCCTGGCGGCTCCGGCTCCGGCTCCGGCTCCGACTCAGTACATTCCCTATGCGATCAATTAAATACGGGTGGAAGAAAAAAGCAATTTGATTGGTACATGCTGCTTCTGTACAGCGGCGTAGCCAGAAATCAGCGAAAGGGGGGGGGGCATGGTGCTCGAGGGGGCGACTTTTTCCCTTGAGAGGGGCGCCATTGTCAGCTCGCGACAGGGGCGTCAGTCTAAAATGTAACGTCATGTTCATGCATGATTTACTAGGTGCTGTAAAATACGAGTATACAAACTAGGTTTCGCTGATTTGTCATAAAATCCAATTAATGCAATTTGCAGCCCAGTGTTGTTTTTTCAAAAAAACCTTGATCTTGATGAATATTTAGCACGATATAGGAAACGAGCTCAGGCTACGGACATTTTTTTCTAAAAAAAAAAAACGCATCCATGCGAATTCGAAACGGTAAAACATACCTACATTGATCGATGAACACACTTTTTATTCTTTGCAAAAAATTATACAGGTTCACTAACTGATCCAAAATGACCTGTGGCGGGCGTTTTCACGCGACCCACTCTAACCTGGCTCCTGGGCCACGTAGCGACACGCAGTAAGCGGCAATCGAAAGACCGTCAAAATAATGACGGAAACACTTTGTTTAGTTTTCAGGTCAGGTCAAAGGTCAGGTCGCCAGAGGTCATCAAAGGTCAAATTTAGTCCATTTAAACAATTTTGGAAACTGCCAACGGATAAATCGGGAATCAATAGAGCTACAGCGCCGAGGAAAAGCACATTTGATAGCCATTTTACAGACCTTCCTGATAATTGCCCTCAGAATTGACCTCGGGTCCACGGTTTAGCCTCCAGATGGCAAAACTCCAAAAATATCTGTTTTTAAGAAAAACGTTTTCTGCGATACCTTTTGCCTCAAGACAGTGACGAGATTTGTTTTGCCAGCATCGTGTTCCTCTCGTCGAGACGCGTCGAAAGAACTATACGTTGACATTGAAATGTCATTTTAAAAATTTGACCTCAGGTCAAGGCCATGACCTGACCGGAAAGGGTCATGCTGCATATCAGTCGATCCGTATCGTCGAGCTGAACACATCTGACGTAGTTTCACCGCTCTAGCATATTTTTATCAAAAGTTATAGCCAAAAAACTACTGGTGACCGTTCATGGCCTGAGATGACCTCAGGAGCATACAGAAGAGTCAGAACTCACAGGTGCATTTTTCCTATTCATTGTGTTTTGTTTACCTATGAACCGATGTTTGAGAGGGCATTGAACAGCATTCGTCCAAAAAAGGCGCATTTCATAGTTTCTCCCATTGACTTGTAATGGAGAGGTCGCAAAATTGACCTGAGCCAGGGTTGTGCTCGACTCAAAAAAATTTGCCGACTCGACTCATCATTCAACTTCAGAATGCCCTGACTCAACTCTGACTCAAACAAGGAGCTGATTTTTTCCCTTGACTCGACTCATGACTCAAGCGGCTCAATGAAAATATGAGTTGACTCAAACTTGACTCAAATTTTTTGTTGAGTGAAGTGTGTTGACTCAAAATTGACTCAGATAAAAAAGTTGTTGAGCGGGGGGGGGGTGAAAAAATCCGGCAGCAGGGCCAGGCCTAAGTTGTTAAGCGGGGGGAGAATGAAAAACTTATACTATATAATGTTTCTAGAAAGTTGAGTCAGATTACTCATGTTCCTAAATGTTTTTGACTCAACTAAATTGCGAGTCGTGAACGAGTGACGCTGTGCGAACTGAATATCAGTGTGATCACTACGATCGTGATCTGGCAAGATGCACCGTGACCTTGCAAGGTGTTTAGTGTTCCTAGCACTAACCTTTCTCCTGGTGACCGCCGCGACACCCGCCGGGAACGACGGAAGCCACGCACCTCCGTCGCCTGATGAGAGCCGCCGTTTCGCTGGCCGTCGATGCTGTCGACACGCCGATCGGTCCGACCACACCCCTGCTCCGGCGGCCCCGAGGGGCCATGGAAGACCTGACCCTGACCCTGCGCGGCCGCCGACCGCGCGCCCTACACATCGTGGCAGGCGCGGTGCCAGCGCCCGGCGCCGGGGGTGTAGGGGAGGACAGGCGTGGCGACGCTCCTCAGCCGACGGCCGCAAACGGACCTTGATGATTGGGATGCTCAACATCCAGTCCCTTTTACCGAAGATCGCATCACTCCAACATGACCAGCTGAATCGTTTCGACCATGACTTCTTTTTACTCACCGAGACCTGGCTTAGATCCGCCACTGCGACCCGACTCGTCACCTTCCCGGGATACACGCTGCACCGCGCCGACCGGCCCGGGGACGCCGGCTACGGTGGAGTGGCCATCCTGGCCCGCGACAGCTACCAGGCCGCTGTCATCCCCCAGCCGCCAGCTGACTGCACCAGCTGTCTGCTGGAGTCCCTGTGGCTGCGAGTGAAGCCGTCGGCCGGCCCGCCCTTCACGCTCGCCGCCGTCTACCGGCCGCCGCGGAGAACGGCCGCGGCACTCCAGGCGGACATTGGCGAGCTGGAGCTGCAGTACCAGCGTGTAGTGCTCCAACACTCCGGGCCGATTCTTATCATGGGTGACCTAAACTGCAACCTGTTAGACACAGGTACAAACCCTGGCCGGGACCGACTCCGTGAAATGTTGCAGTCTTTTGATTTATATCAGCATGTGATGCAGCCCACCTTTTACACCGGTTCACTTTTAGATGTAGTTATTTGCAACTCTGAACACATCATCCGTCGTCTAGCGGTGTCAAAATGCTCTTTTAGCCCTCATTATGTCGTTCGCTTGCTTTTATCTTTACCGAAACGTGTTAAAAAACCATCCCGTCTGCGTTTTAGGCCGCTCAAACGTATCCAGCGAGATGCATTGCTTAGCGATTTGTACAGTGTGGACTGGTCGTGCGTTTTTAGCAGCTATCCAGTTTCTTTCATGTGGTCCTTCTTTACTGATCGTTTGCTATCCGTTTTAGATAGACATGCCCCGACTAAAATCGCTACCATCCGGAACCCTGAAGCGCCGGCTGTCACCGCGGCGACTCTCGATCTCATGTCCCAGCGGAGGGGTGTACTGCGCCGCGAGGGGAGATCGCCGACCTTTCGCGAACTTGATAGGAGGGTCAGGTCGGCGATCCGGCAAGATTGTAGAGCGGACATTGAAGCTAGGCTCCGTGAGCATGGCAGCAGCTCACTGTACCGTGTGATCCGCCCTATAATCGCCGGAAAGCGTAGCAGTGCCC